TTCCGCTCCACGCCTGTTGCTAGGTAAAAGACTTTTCCTCCACATCTCCAGATTCTCTCTGAACTCCCCCGCTCCCACTCCCACAGACCCTCCTGAGGCGGAATGAAATGTAGATTAAACTCGGGTGTTTTTTGTTCATAACTTGACCACAGTTTATCAACGGGGATGGTGGGGGGTTGCTGCATTTTTGGGATGTTTCCCATGAGTTATGAGCAGCCATCACTGGGCCAGCTGTACCGTTAAATGTTTGGTATTCAGAAATGCTATTATACTTATAAGAATACATCTCTTTCCACCTGTCACAAGGACTTCTCTTCTGTATATGTGGATGCTCAGAACAAAGGCACATCATGTAAAKCTGCTCCAGCCCCTTTTACCCCACAGGTTCATTGAATCTGAAATATTCTGAAAAAAAAAAAAAAAAATCAGCATCTTCATGCAAATGACTGCTGCCCTGCAGACTGTGTGGCAGATGGACAGAGCTCTGACCAGTGATGCCTTCATGTGCTCTAAGGAGGCTGTTTACTGTGAATTGTTCTGCATTTATTGTTTAATCCAGTTTTTAGCATGTATTTTTATTAAACTGTTCTGATGAGATTTTTATTTATTATTATTATTAGTATTATTATTATTATTATTTGCTATTAGATTTTAAATCAATTGTAAAGTTTAAATTTGTGATATAGTGCAACAAAACAAACAAATTTCAATTGCAAAAGATGAAAATACTTGTCCTCCTGAGTTGTTGACTTTGAGTAATTGTGGCTCCCTGAGAATTTTAAGTTAAATAGCTCTGCTGCTTTAAAACCAGCATTGACCATAAACTACATCTACAATAATACATTATTTTACTTGCAAAATTATGGCATCCCACCACCAGGTGGCGCTGCACAGGATTCAAAAGTAGCTCTGGCGAAATTCTCTGCGTAAAAATTACATTTAGCTTTTTTTGTTGTTGTTCTCGTATGTTTTGTATTATTTTTCTGTGTGCAAAATCATTACTTGATTTATCTTGCTGTATTTTTATTCTCTTGTGCAGCACTTTGGTTGTCGTTGGCTGTGTAAAGTGCTACATAAATAAAGTTTTGATTTGATGAGATTTTTTTTGCTACCGTCTAAATGTGCTGGTAAGTGGTAATTCCCCAGTTGCAAGTTGTATATTTAAAATGGAATGCCCCTCCAGTGGGAATTCCCTGTTGGAAAGTGGGAGAGAATTAAGATAGACATTACTCAACACAACTCTACAGTGAGTAAAACTCTCTTACTTTCACTTTTAGTAGCATTTCTGTATTATTTATTTCACATTTAGTCACTTGAGGAAGTGTTAAAACCCTGTTTATATGCAGAAAATACCACGTAGAGCTCAGTTATTTTTAGTTAGCTGTACTTTCGGTTGACCCTTTTAGGGCCACCAAAAAGCTCAAGTTCGTGAAAATGATTTTGACACCCCTGTCCTATAATGTCCGTGTTTAAACTGTGTATACATTGGATTCACAAATATCACATAAAAAAATAAATGTAATTTAAACTAGAAGCACTCGGAGAGCGCAAACCTCCACCAAGGCCATAGGTTAAGAGGATCCCCCTTGGACAAGTGACCTATCCAATGCTTTATACCAAATATAATAACATCATGTTGCATTATTCATACATAAAAGTAAATGATGGAAATCAAAATTCAATTTATTCCAACATATTTATCAGAAAACCCATGTAAGACATTAATATTGAATCAATATCATAACACAGTATCATTCCAAACATAACCAGACATATTCTGTGCCCATTCAGTGAAGGTATCATATAAAAAAAGTTTCTAAATAAATAAACATTAAGATTTCAGTTTAAATTTTCAACAAAATATTCACACTATCGTGGTGAGAAAAAATAAGGGGGAAAAACTTTGACATCTGTAACTTCCCCTATCCTGCAATTGTGAAGAATCCTTCAAAAAAAAAAAGGTCCTGGATCTGGATCATGATCCAGATCATCACCAAACTTTAATGGTGTGTTCCTTTGGCCAATACCCACCTGTGGTAAAAGATTTCATGTAAACCCACCCATAAGCTTTTGAGGAAATTTGTGCACAGACAGATATACAAAAACAAAACCTCCTTGATGGAGGTAATTATCATCATTGTGTTTTAATGTCAAAAAGAAAGCACYCTCTCTCCCCTCGCCATCAGCAAAACAAACCAATAACATGTTTCATATTAGCTTTCTTTAGGAAGTCATTCTGATTTAAACCAACATTCCACCAGTAAGAGATCCTCCATCAGCAAGAATCTTCCCCCAAAACACAAGTATGTAAATACATCAGGTGAGGTTGTCCAAACACTGCATAAAAACAGCACAACAGCAAACAGTGTTTCAGAAAACAGTTAAAACCGTCAGTTTTCTTTTTCACTTTGTTCCATAAGAAGACGGCAGAACGCCTGGACAGCTTAACGGTGCTAATTACCACAAAGACGTTTGCTGGAGTTTAAATTCAATTTTCCACAAACGTCCAGCTAACGGCTGCTTGGAACCTGAAGCTTTTAAATAAACGAAGCTGCTTTTCAACAAGCTCAGCACTGGAGCCTTTTTGCTGGTTCACCCCACATTCCACCAGTTTCATCACCTTCTCAGTCGTTAAATCATTCCACACTCCCCCCCCACTCATCTCTTGCTGGGCTCTTTGGATCCCAAACCCCCCACCGACTCCAACCTCTGCAGCAACCTGAGTCTGTTACAGAAAAAAAAACAAAAAAAACGGAGCTCAGGAAAAGCTCGGGCTAATTCAAGTTATGGACAGATAACCTTGTTCTGACCTGCTGGACCTCATGTGAAACCGGATGTTGATTCCAGAAGATGCTGCTGAGTGTGAAGCTATGATGGGTGTGGGCGTATTAATTAGAAAGGCCTTGTGAGGTCCTGTCACCCTTTCTGTTCACTCTACACCTCGGATTGTCTAAAAATCGTACCACCTTTGCAGAGGTACTAAGACTGGATAAGAGAAAAAAAATTGTATAGGTCTTCTGGACGGGTTCTTCTCTAATGAAACGTTTCGTCTCTTCTCCAAGAGACTTCTTCAGTCTGAGAGTTTCAGGCTAAATTCAGGCTTTTAAGCCCTGCCTCCATGTGACTGATACTCACATCACATGGCTGTCGTTGACACCTAATTAACACAGGAGTAAAAGAAGCCATTTTTGTGAAGAAAGATTGTCCATCATTAAACAGAGGTGGAGGCCTCCGTTTTCAGTTGTCCCCCTCCTACAGTGCAGCTATTGCCAGTATCACTCCACCCCGTTAACAATAGGTGTTAATTAGGTGTCAACGATAGCCATGTGATGTGAGTATCAGTCACATGGAGGCGGGGCTTAAAAGCCTGAATTTTGCCTGAAACTCTCAGACTGAAGAAGTCTCTTGGAGGAGAGACGAAACGTTTCATTAGAGAAGAACCCGTCCAGAAGACCTAYACAAKTTTTTTCTTTTTGATTTTTTTACCTGGATTACTGAGATGCATCAGGACACTGGATAAGAGCTAAAGTAAAGACAAATATTCAACAAGTTTACCCTGTGGGAATAACTTACCTCTAAATTTCCTGGAGGAAATGTTTGGTTGTAGCAGGACAAGAACTTCAAACGTCGTGCCGGCTGGAGTTTATTCAGCTCGAACAGCAGGCCAGCGAGATGAAGGACCTGTTTAAATTGTTGAGTGCCATCAAGATTAGTACACAAGATGCCACCATGCTTAATAAATCCATAAAACTGAATAAAAAAAACGGGACGCTTACAAAATCATCGTGTAAAGTCGTGTAATCTTCTGTGAGCATCTTGATCCATAGTTTTCAGGCTTTCTGGGTTTTTCCAAATAGTTTTTTTGTACATGTGCCAAGTGTTCATCTCTTACAATCACCTTGCTAATCTGTGAAACTGTAATGTCTTTGGTATTTGTCAAGGATTTAAGTAAATAACTGGGAACAAATTGTGTCTTTGTGACAGACTGCTGCTAACAAAGTGCCTGAAGATATAGTTCTTTATTAAGCTGACCTGTAATGAATCAATAAAACACAAGTTCACCCTTTGAGTTCAGGAGGCTTTTTATGCCCGAATGACTCACAGAGGATTAAAAAGCATAAAAACACTTGGAGCAAAAGTCATGTAGTGTGTACAAGGGCAGAAAAAAGGACAGAACATGAATAAAACAGCAGTAACTACCTTCAAGGAATAAAACTCAAAATGAATTTGAAAGAAATGACAAGAAACAAACAAAACATACAGAAATCAAAACCAAATTTAAATCAAATCTGCAAAACTGACTGACTGAGAGTCCTTTATTTGTATTTGTTGAGGTCAATTAGCTCCAGCTGGGTTTACTCCAAAAAATTTTCAATTCTGAGTGTACAATTTGTGATTACTTTTCAGACAGTTTAATTATAATAAACCCCATATTTCGCTATGACACAAACAGGGTTGACACCAAGAGTTAATGCCAAAGATTTAAGCAAAGATATTGAAAAACTCCCAGCTATTACCACGCCAAGTTTGAGCTCAATATCTGCAAAACTGACTGAGTTGGAGTCATTTTTATGCTTTCTCATTTCGATTAGCTGCCGTGGCCATCTTGAATTACAGTCCCTTCAAAAGTTAATCGRTTTTAGATATTCACCCACTGATTACTTTCTGGAAGTTTCAATCAAATCTGCCAAGTGGTTCATAAGATATTTTGCTAACAGACAGACAGAGCGCAACCACAATAGTTAATGACAAAGTTTGCAAAACAGATGTTACTTAATAGGTGCTCGGGTTGTGTGTTGAAGAAGACTCTCAGCTACTACCAMACCAAATTAGAGCTCAAAATCTGTTAAAATGACTGAGTTAGGGCCCTACCTGTCATCAGCAGAAAACAAACTCTGAACAGGAGCGCGCGCGCGCACACACACAGATATATCCGCGCACGCTCACATTCCAGTGGGCGGGGCCACTGACGCCGCTCTCCGTTTTGTGTGAATGAGTCGCAGTAGCTCGGAGTCCTCGGAGCCAAACCCCAGCCAGGAACGGAGCGAGAGACCGGAGAGAGAAAACTTTTATTTCCCAAATGGATTTCTCCGGTGGACTCAGACATTTCTTATTTTCTTACGTCCTCATTAACGGCATTTTATTGACACTGGAAGCTAAAGAAGGTGAGTGTTTATGTGCTAATGTTGTTTTTAATCACGAAAAATCTGCTATGAAAATCTGTCTGCGTTTTGACTGAGGGAGAAACACGCGTGGCCATGCGGGGAAGCTCCTGACGGAACTTTAAAAACCAGGAAACAACAACTCATAAGACTCATTCAACTTTTAGTCAGTAAAATAAATAATAGTTGTAAAGTTTAATTTGTTTCTCCAAAGTTTCTAACAGCAGCAGGTGGGCAGCCTCTGAACAGCTTGCTAATATTTAACCCAGGGATTTAATCATTACTCATGTCAGATTTTATTTCTGCATCAGCATGTTGAATTTGTAAATGAAAGAAAAGTTAATTTAGTTTTGTAACTTGTTTTGTAAATCAGGTGACTTCATTCACTTTCAAGAATTTTCTAACTTTTTTGCATTCTTGTCTCCACAGAGGTGCTTTTGGACATGAGGGCAGCAGGAAGAGAACTGGGCTGGTTGACATGGACCCCAAATGAGAGAGAAATAACTGGGGTGAGTCTGTCTCCCTGGCTGCTCCTTCAACTCCCACGTTTCTGATAGGAATTTGCCTCAGGATAAATTACTGTGGAGCATTTTTTTTTTAATTTTTTTTACAGGAAGGTGCTCTGGTGCAAAAATATTTGAACATTTGAGTTGCGTAACTCTCTGAGTGAGTCCTAAGTGTGTGTTAGCACATGTGAGTTTCTATAAAATCTGACATTTTAAAGGCTGTTTGTGTGTGTGGATRTGAAGGGGGAGTCGTGGTGTCACATCATGAGGAGCTGCTTCCAGAGCATGTCTGGGCTGTACTAAAAGCACATGTAGGCAGAGAGAGTAGCTGCTCGCTCTGAACTGGAAATACTTGTGGCTTCTTGCGGTTTCAAGGCTTCAACTCCAGAATTGTATGTTAGAGAGCAATTAACTTTTAAAGTTTGCAGCATGTGGTAGCTCTTTTATTTTTTTTTTCTTGGAGAGGAGGGGCTTCAGATGGAGCCAGTCAAGTCAGTCATGGCTACCTTTATCCTTACACCAGGGGAAAATATCTACATTTTAGTGATGCATCCCAAATGATGTGGTTGTCTCGTTGCCGGTGTACTAAAGACATGTGTGCCTTCCTCCATGGTGCGGTTAGAGTAATTGACCAGTCAGGCTCACAGCAGATTCACTGTAAATAGCCTCATTTCATGTGCTGATGACTCAAAGGCATGTGCAGGCATGCTACTCCGTGGTTCACCTAACTTTCCCAAAGATGTGTCACCGCTTAAATGTTTCTCCTAAAACCTTCGTTTTGCACAACTAAAATCTTTACAATTTCTTGTATTTTTTCCCTCCCTCGGCTTTATGTGATTTTAAAAAACGTCCACCAGCTGTTTTAACGGACATGTAAGCTTTGCTGTTATAAGTTTTGTTTTTTATGCAGAGCCACACACTCCGCCAGCAAAGCACATTCCTTTTAATTAACGGCACAGTGGCTACATACAGAAAGCAAACCGCAGCTTCTGCCTCAGTGGGGGCCCGTTGTTTCCTCATGAGCCAAGGTTAGAAGTTGTCACTTTTTTTCCCCAAAGATTTCTGTGGCAGCGTATAGTTAGTGCGCAAGGAGCAATGCTATTTGGGGAAGAAGCCAACAAAAGTACTAAAAAAACCAATTGTTTTTTGTAATAACTCAAATTGAGCTGAAATGCTTGAGGTCTTTTGTCTTTTTAGGCTCAAAAAGTTAGCAGAAAAAGTGTTATTACTGTGGTGGACCATAAAAGTGTTCACGAGGAGTATTTAACAATGCACACACTCACTGTTTTTGTTTCCAGGCTCAGATTTCAGTGGCCTGAACCCTCACGGTTAAATGGTTGCTCCTTTATTTGACGATCCTTTTTGAGTGTTGGTTCAGCCGGCGTGGTTAGGAGCTCCCTAGTTTTTCTACCTCCTAACCTTCTCTGGTTTGTGCGGTCTCGTTTCAGTGGGAGGTCCACCAGAGAACCCTGAACGGCTCCCAGTTCTACACTTACTACGTCTGCAACGTGGAGGAGCGCGAGCAGGACAACTGGGTGCGCACCACCTTCATCCAGCGGCACGCGGCGGCCTCGCGGGTCTTCGTGGAGCTGCGGTTCATCGTGCGCGACTGCAACTCGTTCGACGGGGACTCGCTGACCTGCAAGGAGACCTTCAACCTCTTCGTGATGGAGTCGGACGCGGACGTGGGCACCACCTTCCACAAGGGCCAGTTTAAGAAGGTGGCCACCATCGCGCCGGACGAGATCACCAAGAAGAACGAAATGCACATCAACAYGGAGACCAAAACTGTGGAGAACCTGTCCCAGAAAGGCTTCTACTTGGCCTTTCAAGACATYGGAGCGTGCGTCGCCATCGTGTCGGTCAGGGTGTACTACAAAACTTGCCCGGCCACGGTGAAGAGCCTCGCGGTGTTCCCCGAGACTGTAGCCGGAAGAGAGAACCAGGCGCTCAAGGAGGTGAGCGGAAAGTGCGTGGAGAACGCCGAGAGCCAGAAGTTACCTCAGATCTACTGTACTTTGCACGGCGAATGGGTGGTGCCAGTAAAACAGTGCCGATGCAAGCCTGGCTTTGAAGAAGTTGACGACTCATGTCGAGGTAAGAACACCTTCCCACCCTCAGGTACTTCTACCCTAAATGATGCAGTTCCCTTTTACAGTGGATTTTACAAACGCCGTTTATCCTTGTTCTAGTTGCCGCAGCTAATAAAACAGGTCTGCACGACAAATATTTATCATAGGTGCTATTATCACGGCTCGGTGGAATTCTGCCCCCCGGCTAACGCGACGCCTCTGCAGTGGGAAGAATGCCGAGCCGTTCTCGTACATGTCCTGGCACAATCCCTGACCTCGGATGGGTAAAAGAGGGAAACGCGCTTTAAAATTTCAGCTGTAATTGTTGCAGATCTTTGGAACAGTCTGTGAAAGTACGTCCTAATTTGGACAGAGGTTGCTTCATGTTTTGGGTCATTAAGGAAAATGTTACGCAATCGCCTGTAAAACTGAAAACGGACCGAAACTTCTTAAAACACAAGAATTTTTAAAACGCAGAAGCCGAAATTACTGTACTATATCAGAAAACACAACAGGAAGAGCTCAACCATAATATAGTTTTGAAAATGCAAAAATAAATTAATATTTTGTAAAAAAAAAAAAAAATCGTTTTTTTAGATGCAGCTTTCATTGAAAGGATTTCCAAAATGTCATTTCTTTGTGTTTTAAACCTAAACACCTTTTTGATCAAGATGAACAGAGAGAAAAAATTCAAAGCTGTTTCTTGTTTTTATCCTGACTCAGAAATTCAGTGTATTTCCTTTTTTAAAACACTTGTTTAGCAGCTCAGCCAACCCCACTTCTTCTTTATGGTGTTTTATTTTGACCGCAGCCATGACAAATATGTAAATGGCATCTTTTGAATACCTTTATTCAAACACTTTATCTTTTTACAGCGCCTTATCTTGTTCATATCGCACCATATTGCACCAGGTGGTTTCCTGTTTCTCATTATCTCCCGCTGTCTTAACTTGGTGCGGCTCCAGTCATAACTCAGGCTTTAGACTTTGTAATCAGATGTGTTTTAACTCACTGTAAAGAAGACCTTTATTGTTGTGAAACGCATCAAAGAAGCAGAGGAGTTACTGTATTTGATGGATTGGCGTTTTCAAGGCAGATGGGAGGAAAAGGGAGGAGAAGGGATGAAACTCTTGAGCCTCTCTGACTTTGTTCATATCATGCATCACAAAAAGCCAAAGCCCACCTTCCCCACCCCTCTTTCTTGTGATCAGACATGTTCACCCCCCGCATATCCCCACATCCATCTTTTGCTTCCCCCCCCACACTGAACCTTAGCTTTCGAGTGTGTGTGTTCGTGTGAACATGGAGCACCGGCTGGCATGTGAGGGCCTGTTGAGATCTGCTCCATGACAAACCACCTGAAGACTCCCATCAGCCCTAAGTGATGTTCCTTCTTCACCTCCTTTGTTTGCACCCTCACACTTGCACAACGTTGAAACAGTCTCAAAGTAATACCTGAAACATACACACACACACACATCAAACTACAGCTATAAATTTACGCACGGTACCCGGGTATAATAGATGTGCCTCCCCACTTCGTTTACCCCCCCATTGACAACAGGCTGACAAAGGAGCTGAAGGTTTCTGTCAGTGTATCGTTTTTATCCACAGGAAAAAAAAAACCCAAACAAAAACAGGTGAGATGATTGGGGAGGAGGCGAAGCGAGGCGAGGAATGACAGAGAAAGCATCCAAAATCGAGAGGCTGTATTTAGAAGAGTGGTGAGAGCTTTTATTTATTTTTTTTAAACGGACAGAGGTGAGGACTGGAATGCAAAGGTAGCAGAACAATGAAGTGCTGTGTTTTCCCTGAGAGAGGGAGAGATGTAGCCCACCTCCACCTACCCACTCCCCCCCCACAACCAAGCTGGTAAATTCCTGATCAGTTTGCTGAGAAAGATCCTCCCAACATTACTGCGAACCTGTGGAATTCCCAGGAGGTGCTGAGGTGGTGGGGAGATGGTGGTGGGGGRTGACGGGTCCGGGTCAAGCCCTCGCATTAAAACGGCTAAACAAAGAAACCACCCCCCCACCCCACGAGAACTACCAGGATGAAGTGCAACGACGGATCTGAGATGCATGAGGGCCGCTGTAGATGAAGATGGAAATGAATCACAGGGTTGCAGCGCCGAGCCAAGACAAATGGTAAGGAGGGCTCTTAAAGGAATCTCCGACAGACACACAGTTAATCATTCTCCCCACTTCTTTCCTGTATGGATTGCTGCTCGGGGAGGGAAAAAAAAAACCCCAGCCACATATACTTTAACTGTGGTGCTTTTTTTCCTCTTATTTAGGTTAAAATTTCCATGTTCTGCGATGTATTCACTCAGTTTTATAGCTCTTCAACCCCACGGGACGTGTTAAAGTAGAGATCTGAGCTCTGGTTTTTGTCTCCGTCTCTTCATCAGCTCTCAGCAAGGCAGTATTTTTGGCTTGTCTTTCAAATCTTAGTGTGTTTTTTTTTCTTTTGAATTAGCCTGTGTCCTTTCAGTGGCCTTCGCTAACTTCATATATGACAAACAAACTAAAGATAAAAAAAATGTCCTGCGGAGCAGAAACGTGTAAAATTTCAGAGGTTAGATTAATCATAACAAGAGGCAGTAGCAAAGCACAAAAAGGGCTTTGTTATCTGTGAAAGGATTACAGATCCTCATAATGAATTATACACAACCACAACCACAAGATTGATGGACTACTGAGTCTTTTTGTCATGCCCTTAATTACCTTTGAACCTTTTTAAAATAATGTTTCTTTTATTATTCTTGCTGTATCGGTATGTTTTAGGCAATATACAGATCTGTTTTTTATTTCTCTGTATTTTCAAGGAGCCAGGSTTTCTTGTAATCTTTTAAAGTGGTCAAGGACAATATATCTTTAATCAACAATGCACTCATTTTGTCCTTCTAGCACACCACCATTTTCAGATAAATGTTTTATTTTCTTTCAAATTTAAAAGATGAACCAGTATTTTTGCATACAAGAAAAAATTGGAATAAAACATGCCATAAATTTGATTTTTTAGATTTTTTTTTGCAGTAGCTGGCCACAAAGACATATTTTGTTCAAATTTTTAGTTGAATTTACAACATATAAGTGGTGACACAAATTGACTCATAAAATAGATTTTTTTTCATCAATGATTTCCAAAATGCTAAAACTGAAACTTGATGTCCAGTAGATGATAAACTGAAGGGTCAATCATCTCTCATGTCTTTGTTAGATTTTACTTTTACTTTTCTTAAAAACATGACTTTCAAAAAGTAGAACTAATTTGCCGACCAGTTTTAGTCAGCCAATAACTGCTGCAAACCCCCCCCCCCCCCACCAACCCACAACAATTGGCCATGCCTGTACATAACTGAGCAAAAACCAGGAAGTGAAATGAAGATGCAGTAGCAGCTGCTGCAGCCAGCTCAGTGTAGCCCACAGTTTAGTTTTTGAAGCAGGAATCCTAAAACTAAAATTTGTTATTTTTGAGTAAATTTCTTCTGTATTTACGGTAGGTTAGGCCATTGTTACATTTTGTTAAATGAAATATAGAAACTGTCATAATAATAGTGCTGTTCCAAACGATTATTTTCTAATGGATTAATCTAACGATTATTTTTTTGATTAATTGATTATTCTAACAACAAATCTATAAGTTATTCTGATGTGAGTGCACTGGAAATTTAAAATGTTTTCATCAAATTAACAAGAACAGTTCTTTAATATTGTAATATTTTCTGTAATTGTAATATTATTGTAATTGTAATATTTTCATGAAAAACTCACCACTCTTATGCCAATACGGTCGCAATGATGCTTTTAGGTACCGAAATGGAATTGCGTGAACATTCACCTGGTGGTTATGTAATACAGCGAATCGATAATAAAAAATCTGCGTCGACAAATTTACATAATCGACGTCATCGATTATTTCAACTAATCGGTGCAGCCCTACTTGTGGCGTCCACGGCCTACCCCAGTTACCACTACTGTGCATGTGTGTCAAGGACAGAAAGGCAGATGTGGCAGTGGAAGGTGTCAAAGCAGTTTGGAGAGAAAAACAAAGTAAAGAACAAAAAAAAAGATTAATCGATTATTAAATTAGTCATCGATTATTTTAATAATTGATTAGTTGTCGATTAATCGATTAATTGGTGCAGCCCTAAATAATAATAATAATAATAATAATAATAATAAACTTCAGAAGAAGCTTTCAAATTTGAGAACTAATCAAGACCACTTTATATTTTGAAAAAACTGGATCCTTGACGTAGGGGTGAATTATATCTTTGCACAGTGTTCTACACAGTGCACAGTGTGYACAAACACAATTTATTTTGTTTTTCTGATGACTTATCCATTTGGCAACTGCTTCAAATTGCACAGCTTTGCTTGTCTTTTTTTCTTTATGCGGAATAAAACCAAACATACCTGCATATGAACCCTCTATAGTTTCAAATTGTGACTCATGTCTTGTTCGTTTTTTTTTTCTTTCCATTTTTCTCACTGGTACAATTTAATGACTGTGCGTCACTCCTCGTCTCGATGCGCCTCGGCTGATCCTCGGGTTTGCGCTGCACTGTCCTGGTAAACACCTCGCCAGCTACCCGTAAAGCCTCGGCAAACAGGGTTTAATCCAACGTTATGGTTGCACAAGGCTCTGTRTATAAACGGAGACATGGTGCGGAACATTTTGGAGCGCAGAGGGGCAGTTTGACGCCCGGACAAAATGTCATCCCTGTGGAACAACTGTCCACTGAATTCCAGTAAAGTTATTACTTTGCCAAAGAAGGTTCCAGTAAACGATTTTTTTCTCTCTCCCACTTTTTTCCTTCTGTGCCTCCAAACTCAGCTGATGTAACAAACGACCGGTGACTAAGMTGCAGTGTAACTGCATGCTGTGGTGAATGATTTGTTCAGGTAGTCGTTGACTTAGGTGTGTTTGGGCTTTTTTCAGTGAACTAACTGCTGGTTCTGCTACCTCCTCCTTCATTTGTGTAATCACTTTCTGCCCCTCACCCCACATCCTCCCCAT